TCTGGGTCTTTGCCGCCACCACTGTTACCAAGACTTACCCCTCAGCCATCGCTTCCTGACTTGGCTTCTGCTTCTCTCTGCTTTCCTCCAGCCAGTTCTCAGTCCTGTAAAATGCATATTTGGTATCTATCTTTTCAAGCCTTCCCCCTTCATCTACTACTGGAATTCCAATGAGACACATGCTAGAATTCTGGAAGCTTCTAGGTCTTCTTGTTGTTCTGATGTCTGAAACCTCTTCCACTGCCCCTTAGAGAAGGTTTTTTGTTTTGTTTTTAAATTTGTGATTTGGGTGAAAGTTTACGGCGCAAATTCATTTTCCATGTAGCAGTTCGTACACATATTATTTCATGACATTGACTTCAATTCCCCAGAATGTCAGAGCTCTTTCCACTTCCTCCCTGTAGTTACCTCTTCCCTGTTGTCCTCCTTTCTAATGCATTCCTGGCCCCCTCTGCAAATACTGCCCTTCTGTTCTCCCATGATTGATCGCTCTAAAGAGTGTATCTGCCTGGTGTAAATGTTGATCCTGTATGCCTCCTTAAGCTGCTTTGGAGTTAAAAGCTAGGCACTTTGAAGCCTCTTCCAGGCAAAGACGAATAAACTGGAAAGGGAATCAGACCAGCCTTTCTTGATTGAACACCACTTCAGCAAATCCCTATGCCTTTCTATCTGTTTTGTCAGCTGTAAAATGAGTGGACTAATTCAGCCCTACTTCAGAGGGCGCAACGAGTGACAGGTTTAATTAATGATGATTGTGATGGGCTTTGTAATATAAAGGCATACATAAATGAAAAGGAGCACTAGAGCTGGCTCATCCAAAGTGGGATCTGTTTTTACCACTTGGGCCTGGTCCCTTGGGGTTCTTTCTTTCTACAAAGTCAGGCGTTCAGAATCATACCATTTCATGGATGCTTTCCACCATTCTTTCTATCTAGAGCTTCTAGGATGTTGGATCTCCTAGACTGTTCCTCGGATTACCTCACCTCTTTCCCATCTCTTTGCCTTTTCTTTTTTTCTGTTTCACAGGAAATCCTCAGATTTTGTTTTCTTTCCATTGAGCTTGTCATTTCTGCCCTCATATTTCTCAGTTACCAGTCCTCTTCTATACTTGGAGCATCAGCTTAGGCTTGTCGCATCTGTCACAGTGTAAGTGCCCAGGCAACGTGTTGTGAATATGGGAAGGAAGGAACAGGAGGTGTGAGTAAATCCGTGACCAAAGGAAAAGTCAAGAACGTTGCCTGAGGACTTTTATCACTATCAAAAGCCCTGAGCCAACTTGTTAAACAATAAGTGAATTAAAATTTCAAGGAAGAGAGTTCCTGTACTGTTTCACCTGTTCTAGAGAACTGAGAAAGAAAGGGAAACATCTTAGCCAATACAGAGTTAATACAAAAGGAGTACCATGGACTTATATTTCCCTTCCCCGGATTGTGTAAAATTCTGACACCTCTCATTAAGAGTTCTGAGCTCAGGTAAGTTCAGGTAGAGCACACTGAAATTCAGTATCTTTCTGTGTTGTATGACTCCTTACAGCCTCTTTAAATACAAGTGTGCAGAAGACCAGAAACGGGCCTTTGAATCTAGCCCAGCCCACACTGATCTTTTTAGTGCCACATCTGTAAACGCATCTTAGAAGAATGTTCTTTGGAACTTCGTTTGGGAAAATGCTGCTACAGATAGTACAATAAAAGAACAACACATACGTGTTCCAGGATTCAAGAATGATTAAATTTGAGGAAATTTATTAATAGTATCCATCATAGGTTCATGGTGCATTTTATTAATAAGTTTTTCTTGATTAGAACCATGGTGACAGTTTTCTAAAATTGCATTTGATCTAATTCAACCTGTATCCCTGATGCAGATTTTTAGTAATGTGGAACTAGAAGGATCTTTCATGAATGAGATTTTAAAATGCCTCATACTTTAATGGTGAAAGATTTAAAATCAAGCCTGTCTGTTGAAACCAGGAACTGAGATAAGCATGTTTGTGATCACCAGTATCATTTAACGTTGTTCTGGGTGTACTAGCCACTTCATAAGACAAGCAAATAAAGTAATAGTATCAATACTAGAAAAGTTAGTGAGAAGGAAATAGTAACCTGTCTTTACTATAGCATATATTAATAAGTAATACTGTGGTCCTGGGGCAGTAGTAGATATTGGAGGAGTTATATAGGAAAGATTAAATATTTGGAAAAAGATTAGATTCCTAGCTTAACTCAGCTTAAATTTCAGTTATTAAGGACTAACATATAGAAAATGAAATCGTAAATGGACTAGAAGAAAAATTCCTAAAATATTTATTTAATCATAAGGCCAAGGAAGAGCTTTCTTAAAGTAGATACTGAAAAGAAAAAGATTGATAGAGTTTACTGCTTATGTATTTAAAAATCATATTTCAAAAACCACCAAAACTAAATTACAAATGAAATTTGGGAAAATATTTATAACATATTCCACATAAAAGTGATGACCCTAATTTATAAAGACTTTGACTAATTAATTTGAAGAAAGAGAGATTTGTAGTAGACTAATGAACCAAGGATATAGTCTAAGCAGCCAATTAGCACAAAAGGAATACAGATAACCAGTGGCGATGGTGGTTGGTTGCCTTCAAGTAGGCGTTGCCTCATGGTGACCTTGTGTATAACCCAACAAAACTTGCCTGGTCCCTCCCATGCTATCCTCATGACCATTGGTACATTCGAGTCCATTGCTGCAGCTATTGTGTCAGTCTCAGTGAAAGTGTCCCTCATTTTCTGCTTCTGCTTCTCTGTAATGGGGGGTAGCTGCCCTGCCCACCTCACAGATGTATTTGAGGATGAAAATAGAGGTGTATACAGGTTTTAGAGCAGGAAGAAAACGTAGTGTTCACCTACCTAATTCACTTCCTTAGTTTGCGTTGCCAGATTTGGGACTGACATCTGGGTGTTCTACCTTGAGTTCTGCCCCCCTTCCCCTTTTTGATAATTAATAGATTGTATTGTTTAGAGTACTTGAGGTGTGCAGAAAAATTGAGCAGAATGTACATAGAGCTCCCATATGCCTCCATATGGCTTCCCCTATTTTAACATCTTGCACTAGTGTGACACATTTGTTACAATTGATGAACCAATATTGGAGCATTGCTGTTAACTAAAGACAATGGTTTATATTCGGATGCACTCTCTGTCATACAGTCCTGTGGGTTTTGACAAATGGCTGATGTCATGTGTCCTCCATTACAGAATCACACAGAATAATTTCACTTTCCAGTAAATCCCCTGTGCCCCACCTGCTTGCCCCTCCTTTGCTCCTCCTCAATCCCTGGCAACCTCTGGGTCTTTTTTATGTTCACTATAGTTTTGTGTTTTCTAGAATGTCACATACCCCATCCCTGTTCAAAGGTGCATTGAAAAGTGATCGATGCAGTAGTACAGGTGGAGCACTAGGGGTGAAGTGTCACTTGAAATAATGATACCAGTAATAACAGACTTGGAGCTTTTTTGGATTTTGTGCTGTTCACTTTGAGATAAGTAGCAATTTTTTTCCCCACCATTAAAATTTCATGTGGGTCTAGTTTAGTATTCCTTGATGCCCTATTGCTTTTTGTTACATTTCACTATTCCAGAAAAATGAAATAAGTTGGGCACTTGGCATGTTTTCAACCTTTTAAATTGGTGCTGGCCAAGTGGCTTTGTGCAGGACAGAGACCATGGGCCACCAGGTCCCTGAAGCACCTAAGTGGGCAGCTGGCCTATGGAGAGCACATGTCTGATCTCAGGCCAGTCCTCAGTGTGCACCTCATTAGAAATATGACCGTGAAGCTGCACTTCACCAGCTGTTGATAGATCTAATAATCCATCATAGTGATTGGCACAGTGCCCAGGAACAATTAAGCCGTGAGCTTTGACTGAGAACCCACTCTTCCTGCCAACTATACTTCAGGTTATAGTTGAAAGAGGGCATCCACGTGGATGATTAGACACGTTGTTATTTGCCTTTATTATTTTGATGATGAGTAAATCCACCCAGGATCTGGAAGCAATTCCAAACTTGCCAGCCATCCAGGGCACCAGGGAGGTGAGGAGGCGTCAGGTCACACTGCAGGGAGCTTTCTGACCACCACTGCCTCTCTCATAGCTCATTGCAGGAGTGTGGAGCTCAGAGCAGGGGCCAGGCCAGGCATCCCCTTTTACTACCTGTGCAGCTAAGTAGTTAAAGAACTCAGGCTTTAGAGTGAAAACCCAAGCCCAAGTCCCTCTGCAAACTGTTTAGCATGATCTTGGACCACGAGCTTTGTCTCTGTCATCTGGGAATGACCATGGAAACTCCTGGATAAGGCTGAGATGATATACATGAAGACCTGAGCATGTTGTCTGCTACAGATACCTCTTGGGAATGTTATCATTAATTCTGAATTCTCCTGTACATAGGATTCTTAAATATGGAAACTTTATCTTTTGTTCTTTAAAAGTAATTTATACTCATTGTAGATAAATCAGGAAATACAGAAAAGTAATAAAACCATCATAGATCATATCACCATCAACCCATCATTGGGAGCATTTTAGATCATGACCTTCTCACCTGTGTGTGCATGTATATGTGTGCATGTATGTGTGTGGTTTCCTGGTTTGTTTCTTTCAGGTTGTGGTTACACTGTGCTGCATATTGTCTCTGGTATTTTGTCTTTCCCCTTTACCGTAGCGTGAGCTTTTCCTATTGGTTTATAATTCTTAGAGATTTCTTACTCTATCCAGGAACATTTAGCCAGCACAATTATCTTGCAATTTCAATTCAGTGTCACAAAGTGCTTGGTAAAAGAGCTCTAATATCTTCCCAAAACTAATATTTCCAAAAGATAGGATTTTCCAAATAGCAGGTAAAAGGACTAGCAGCTTTTCAGGTAAATGAATTGAATACATGCAGTGGATTTCTGCCACTGAAACGTTCAGTTTTATTTTAACACACAGATATGCAGTCTCTCACCTAATTTATTTTCTTTGTCTTCTCAGGACAATTTTCCTAGTATTGCTGTTTTCTCAATATGCCAGAAATGTCAAACTCCCTCTCCCGATTTACAAATCCAAGAAAGGATGGACCGCATACAAGTTACAGCTTTTCAAAATGTTCCCTGTGAGTAGTTGAGTGACAGTAATTGCCTGTGGTTCATACACAGACTGTTACGTGAAGGGAGAGATGTAAGCGGGCCTTCGTTAGGGGAGCATGTCTGTGTGGGGACATCAGGGTGCTAATGACCACCCAAACCATCTTGAATTCTGATTCTGAAATCAGAGCATATTCTCTTAGCAGTGCCTATGAGAGGGGGACATTGTCCTTGGGACTAAGTGAAATTTGACTCCATGAGTCTAGTGACATGGTGTCTTGTTATTTTAAAAACCAGACTTTGGGAGGGTTAAAGTAAGCTTACCTTTGTGAAGTTGTTTTCTTTAAATGGGATTCCATTCGAGGAATAGCCTGTCAACAAATCTGTTACGTGTTTTTTTCTGACTAGTACTGATGGTGGTGGGTTCTGGGATGATCACACTGCATGAAGGCAGTTTTACCAGTGTGGTTTGCCAATAACCAATAGTCACCCTGTTGGCCTGACTGAGCTTTTCCCCTTGACCGCTCAGATAATCCTGGCCATCCTCGTTTCCTGGCTGCTCTGCTTCATCTTCACAGTGACAGATGTCTTCCCTCCCGACAGCACAAAGTATGGCTTCTACGCTCGCACGGATGCCAGGCAAGGCGTGCTTCTGGTAGCCCCCTGGTTCAAGGTTCCATACCCATGTGAGTATCCTGGTGGCTAGAGTGGTCAGGAGCCCAGGAGGGCCCAAGTCAGAGGACTCAGAAGTTGGCCAAAGGCTCTGCAATCATGAAAAGCCTTCTTTGTCCCAGAATGTCTCCTAAGAGTCTCACCATTTCTGGTTATTAGAGGATTAGACAGCAAGAAAGGGACGCCTTTTCCCCGAGGGTGGTGATTCACACAGAGACTAACCAGCCCCCCTTTCAGGTTAATTAATGGGCTCTTTCACCTTCACTAGATGGGAATCATGGACCAGGGGTCTCTTGCCAGGGTTGAGTCCTGGTGGCCAGCATTTGAAGGTAGCTACTTAGAAAGGCAAGTCTAGAACTGTATGGCGCCTGAGCCACCAAAGCAAAAGGCTCGAGTGGGAGGGTCATGGAGATTAGCAAACCAAACTGCTCAAGCATGATGGAATTTATATAATCTTTTAATAGGGAGCATAATCTTTTCTTTTATTTGGTCACAGCCATGAGAGGTAAACTGATACTCACAAATGGGCTGAAGATAGAGCTTAAGTTATGCTTGAAGCACTGGGTAACTCTTAGGGGAGAGCAATAAGATCCCCAGGTGAGATGTCACCTGGACTCACGTGGACTGCTTTCTAGATCCCAACCTGAGTGACTGGCATGAACCCAGTGGGTTATCATGTACTTGTTTGCACTGCTGGGGACTCTGTTCCTAGCGTTTAGGGTCTTTGTTAGAACTGAAGCCTGCAGTTTGTTGGATTGTGCCATTTTGTTCCCCAGTTTAGCAGTCTCATTCTCACATCTTACAATGATGAGGAAGTAAAGTGAGAAAAGGCAAGAATTTTAAGGTTGAGCCAAAGAACAACTGGCCTAATTGTATCGAATGACAGCGGCGTTAGTGTTGTTCTTCTGGTCCCAACACACTTAACAAACCTTTAAAATGTGCAGACTTTCTAAAATAACACTCTTATCAGATTGTATGGTCTAGGTGTATATTTATGTACACCTATCCTTTTTCCAGGAGCTCTGGTAGCATAGTGGCTAAAGCACTTGACTGCTAACCAGAAGGCTGGTGGTTCAAACCCGCCAGCCACTCCTTGGAATGAAGGTTGGGCAATCCTTCTGTAGTGATACTGCCTCGGAAACCCAAGGAGGGGTCGCTATGAGTCAGGGCCAACTCGATGGCACATAACAACAACAACAACAATCCTTTTTCCAAAAACAGGATCTAAGATGGCCAGTAAACATATAATGTGAGATAAAATGAGATGATTCCGTTTGAGGTGGTGAATAAGTTTTGGAAACAAGTCCATAGCGATTATGAGTGTGATTAATGCCACTGGATTGCACACTTGAAATGATTAAAACAGCATATTTTGTGTTATGTACATTTTGTCACGAGGAGCTCTGGTGGCAGTGCCTAAAGCATTTGGCTGCTGACCAGGTCAGTGGTTCAAACCCACCAGCTGCTCCATAGGAGGAAGATGTGGCAATCTAGTTCCGTAAAGCTTTACAGCTTTGGAAACCTAATGGGGCTCACTATGAGTCAGAGTCAACTCGATGGCAGTGGTTTGGTTTTGGTTTTTATATTTTATCACAATTACAAACATGGGATGAAAGTAAGTCAGTGAGGAGGCCAGGAGGTGCTGCGGGGGGACACCCTCGTGCATGCACACAGGTGGGCTTTGCTTCTGGAAGTGGCTGTCAGGGGCTCTGAGCACAAACGGACACAGAGGGTTGTCAGGAGAAGTAACGGTTCATGTGACTGAGACCAAAGACACTTTTCCCAGGGACCTCTCATGGCCGATGGTAAGGAGGCCTACCTTAGTGGGTGTGGACTCAGCCTCAGGACAGGACACTCCTCCTGTGAGCTGGTGTGTTGCCAGAACTCCACTTGGTAAAATACCGCCTCCTGAGAGCCCAAAGGGTGTGGGCTTGTGTACTCTGCAGATGTGGCGTAATCCAGAGTCAGGTTTTCAAATGTCCAGAGCAGTGGTTCTCAGTCTGTAGTGTGCTAAGAATTACTTGTGTTAGTTATTAAAGCTACAGGTTGTTTGAACAAAATTCAGACTTCTGGTTCAAAATACCAGTGGTGCTGAGGTTGAGAAGCCCTGCTGTAAAGTAATAAAGATTGACATCAGAATTAAAAGATGTAATAACAGATTTAACGAGACAGCTTGGTGGAAGGCACAGGAGTTAGTAAAAAAAAAAAAAAAAAGTGATGAGCAAGGGATCAGAAATTAAGATTATAAATTTAAAATGTGGAAGTCAGTGGGGAAAAGATTTCAAAAAGAACTATGAGAAAGTAGAAAGTCGCACAAGAATAAAGAGACTCAGAAAATAAAAGGCAATTTGTGGAAAGTAGTAAATTTTAAAATAAAAGAAAAATGACCCCTGAAAAGAATCAACTCAGTAAAATGTAAAAACCACAGTGCTGCAAGGTAATAGTATAAAAGGCTATTTAGAAAACAGAAAGCAATAAGGAAGACATTGGAACTAGAAAAGTCCATTCAAAGTGCCCCCGAGTTAGGATGTTGCTGGTAGGCGTGGAGGTTCCCTAGCTCTTGCCAGGGGCCGGTCCCTCTGACAAAGGGCTGCCTCTTTGTCCTCTGACTGTTGCTAATGGGTAAAGTAGCCCCTGGCAGGAACAATTGGGCCCTCTTACACACACTTTGCACATCTTACTTTTATGGCATTTTTCTCTTCACAAACCCAGGGTTGCTTCCTTGTTACCTACAAGACAAAAGCTAAGTGCCTCTTGGGACTCATCAAGCCTTTCCTAAACCTGCCTCCACCACACCTGCGTGCCCCTCTGCTTCTGCCTTCAAAGCTGGTTCCTTCTGCTAACATCATCCCTCCATAGGCCCTTGGCTCTGCCCATTTGCTGCTGCCCCAGGCCAGTGCACACCCCAGACACCTCCATTGGCCTTCTCATCTCCAGACCTTCCCTGTCCTTGGAGAGGCAGCTCTATCCCCACCTCCTCAGACCCTTCCCTGGATAGTCAAGCCGTAAGCACTGACTTCCTCTTTTCTGGAATTCCTAGCCTATGTTTTCTCTCCTGACATAGCTTGTGTTGCCTATATTTGAAATGTAACCATTACATTGTTACTAGATCTTGCAATAAGTCCTGTTCCCTATACTACATTATTGGTTGTTGAGTGAGGGAGTATGGCTTTTACCCTTCTTTCTCTTTTCACCATGCTTTATACTTAGTGGGTATATTGTAAATAATTGTTCAAAGAAAGAAGGTGCAGGTACTTTTTTAAATCTTTCATTCTAACAATGAAAGTGCCTCATGCTTTTATTCAGTAAGATTTATGGCTTTCAATGTCCAAATACATACACTTCTAAGAAAAAAAAATTTAATAGAAAGGCAGATAAATACAGATACTCACAGATATATGAGCCCTTCTCTGCTTTCCGAAATGAAACTATTTCACCTTCTGTAATATGGTGTACTTGGAAAAAAGTGTTGTGTTATATTAGAGAATGCTTGTGGATCCTTGCACCATGCTTATTGTTGGGGTTTAAATAGGGAGCTCTGGTGGCATAAAGCATTTGACTGCTAACCAGAAGGCTGGCAGTTCAAACCTACCAGCCACTCCTTGGGAGGAAGACTGGGCAATCTACTTCCATAGTGATACTGCCTCAGAAACCCAGGGAGGGGTAGCTATGAGTTGGACTTGACTTGACAACAGTGTGTTTGGTTTTGGGGTTTTTGGTCATTTTTTACTTGCTACCATCCCATGATAAGAGCACCGTTATTTTATGACACACTTTGCAAAGCAGGGCTATAAACTCCTCTCACCCACTTTTGCCTCAAAAACACAGCAGCAGGTCATGTTAGATTGGGATACAGTAGACACACAGCATGACTTTGGAGCAGGTAGAGAAGCAGCTGCCAGTAATCTCTTTTGTTCACTAAAGGCACAGAGCAGTGTAAGCCTCGTTACAGCGTCTTCATTTGCCTCAGTAGCTATCCCCAGGTATCTGGTGCATTCAGGACTTGGGTTTAAAAATAGAGTCCCCACAAGCATCAGAATCTTGAGTGGCTCCTGCAGAGCCCACTGACGTACTGAATGCCTTTTCTGACGAACATCTCAGTAACTCTTGCCTGCCGCTCTCAGAAAAATAATAGGATTTCATGTTGTTTCCCTTTTGCAGTTCAGTGGGGCCTGCCCACCGTGTCTGCCGCTGGCGTCATTGGCATGCTCAGTGCGGTTGTCGCCAGCATCATCGAGTCTATCGGTGACTACTACGCCTGTGCGCGGCTGTCCTGCGCCCCACCGCCTCCCATCCACGCCATAAACAGGTATGTGCCGGGAGGAGGGATTTTTCATCAGTCCAGCACTGCAGTGCTTTGTTCTGTGGGCAGGATCATCTTTTTTTAAACTTTTATTGTGATTTGGGTGAAAGTTTACAGAACAAATTCATTTTCCCTACAGCAGTTCATACACATTGTGTTTCATGACATTGACTGCAATTCCCCACAGCGTAACAGCTCTCTTCCTGCTTCCTCCCCGTAGTTACCTCTTCCCTCTGTCTTTCCCTCCCATGCACTCCCACCTCCTGAGCTGTCTCCCTTCTGTCTGCCCGTCTGATCTCCCATGATTGATCACTCCAAGGAGTGCATCTACCTGATGTAAACGCTCACCTCATATTCCTGTCTGTTTGGCTGGAAGCCACAGGAGTAAGTTCAGTTACCTGAAGGGTAACTAGGGACCATACATAGTCTCAGAGGTCTCACTAGGCTCTATCAGACCAGCAAACCTGGTCTTCTTCTTTTTTTAGTTTGAGTTTTGTTCCACATTGTTGGCAAGATCATCTTGGAAAGGGAACTAGGAGTTTAGAATGAAGGCAGTAAAGCTTCAGGGCAATAGAATGACTGTTGGTCTTTGAACAAGTCACTTCCTGTATTTTTGGTCTCATTTTCTTCGTCCTTAAAACAGAGCAGTACTCCTACCCTGCCTTCCTTGTAATAATAAATAAGATACTCCCCGTGAGACCATTTTAAAGCTTCAACTTACAAATGCCAAGTGTCGCCATTGTTCTTTGCTTCCTTTTGTGTCGTTTTGATAGGCCCACTTTGGAGTCCCTGGATGGTGCAAAGAGCACATGAGGCTGCTAACAGAGAGGGTAGAGGTGTGAGTCCACCCAGAGACACGTCTCATTTCAGAAAATCAGCCACTGGCACCCTGTGTAGCACATTCCACCCCAACACACATGGAATGGCACCATGAGTCAGAACTGACTCCACAGCAAGTGGTGGTCATGGCCACTTTCATTTGCTCTTGTCTTGTTTTCCCAAACTGTTCCTAAAACCCCAAACCAAACCCACTGCCATCAAGGCAATTCCAACTCATGGCAATCCTCTAGGAGAGAATAGAACTGCCCCATAGGGTTTCTAAGGCTGTAAGTCTTTACAAAAGCAGACTGCTTCATCTTTCTCCTGCAGAGCAGCTGGTGTATTTGAACTGCTGACCTTTTGGCTAGCAACTGGATGCTTTAACCACTGTGCCACCAGAATTCCTTCTTGGGAAGGGGTGGATATTGTATAATAAAGAAAAGAAGGGCAAGAATAAATGAAATCTGCAGAATCAAGAGGTTTATGAGCTGTGAGGTGTATACTTTCAACATACTTGGTCTTTAGGTTCTGAATGCCACGATTGAATTGGGTGCTGTGGAGTCTGCAGAGGAAATGGCCCACATTACCCCCAATTTCCCAGCTGCTGCACCTCCAGAGAGAGTGTGTGTGATAAGGCCCAATGGTCCTGGTTCCTTAGTGGGGCTTGCATTGGTTCTTCCAGGGGATTTTGAGTCCTGGTTTTTATATCTTTCTCTAATGGAGCTGTTGCGTATGATTAAGTTACATTCATATTGCTCTATATGGAATATTGATGATACATTGATTCTTTTAAAAGTGTTCATATATATGGAATTACAAAATGTTTCCTCTCAGGTGAAACTAGATTTTAATAGTAAAGGAATGAAATCAATGTCTTTTTTCAATAGACACCCTTGTTAGTCTTACCACAACCCATTGCCATCAAGTCAGTGATGACACATTTGTCTTAGATCCCAACAAATGACTGTTTTCTGACTAAAAACCTGTGCCTTGCATCTAATGCATGATGTAGAAAGGGCCTTATCACGGGTGAGTGAGTGTGGAGGGTGAAAACGTAACCTGTGAAAATGCAGGTTCTCATTTAGCAGGTCTGGGTGGGTCTGTGAGTTTGCATCTGACCTCCCAGCGGGTGCTGAGTCTGCAGGCCCATGGACCACGCTTTTGAATCATAAGCGTTTACAGCCTGTTTCAGAATGTTGCCTCCACTGAGTGAGTGTTTCTCTTTTCTCCCGTTTCCTTTACACTTTAGGGGGATTTTTGTGGAGGGCCTCTCCTGTGTTCTTGACGGTGTATTTGGTACTGGGAATGGCTCAACTTCATCTAGTCCCAACATCGGAGTGTTGGGAATTACTAAGGTGAGTCACTCAGGTTGAAGCACGGGCCTGGGGCCAGACTTCAACCCACCAGCCTCTCCACCCCACTCTGCCCAAAACTCAGGCACACAGATATGGGACTGCCCATCCCAAACTCCAGCTGCCACAGAAGGAGCCCACTTGCAGCCACATCAAATGTATTACTAGCAAATAAACTTCGTATCTTAGTTGCCTTAGGTCACAGGGTGCTGTTGGCCAGGGTGTTGAGGAACACAGCTCGGCAGGCCAGCCTTGTACGTTGCACAATACACCGTATTTTCATTTCCCACTTCGCGTTGGTCACCAGACTCCCTAACTAGAGCAGTGTACCCTGTGAACTTGGGGGTGAGCCAGGAAGCCGCCTAGACCTGTTGTAAAGTTAGGGGGATAACATTCCAAAGAAAATTCAAAAAGATGTTCTGAAAGAAAATCCAAACATTTCCAAAGAAATCTCTATGCTATGTTGTATAACCATATGAAAAGAAACCAGATACCAAGTTTATGCACCTCGATTGCAGATTCCTGTGTGTGGGAGCCCTGCTCACACAGTCCCTGCCTGCCTTGTTGGTTGGTTTCCCAGGAGCTCGTTGTTGTTGTTGTGTGCCGTCGAGTCGGCCCCAACTTATAGCGACCCCTCCTTGGGTTTCCAAGACAGTATCACTACGGAAGTAGGATTGCCCAACCTTCCTTCCGAGGAGTGGCTGGTGGTAGGGCTACCCCATATAACTATTCCCAAGTCATATGTACTGGTAAAGATGCTGTAATAGCGTTTGGTGATTCTGTGGTAGAGCGCTCCTTCCATGAGGGAGACCGGGTTCAATTCCAGCCATCGCACCTCCTGTGCACACAGTGCACCATCTTGTCAGTGATGACTTAGGTGTTGCTGTGATGCTGAACAGGTTTCAGTGGAGCGCTCAGGCTGTCAGATTAGGAAGGAAGGCCTGGGATCAGCTTCTAGAAACCAGCCAATGAAAACGGCCATCTGAGGCATGACAGTTGGCCTGGAGCAACAGAAGAGGAGAGTCAGGAGTGGGAGGAGGATAAGGAATGTGCACCGTCAAGCCCATGTGCACAGCTGCATTAGGCAGGGAAGTGGGACTCGGAGCAGAAAGTCTCTAAAGTGTTAAGAGCTCCTCATCTGTGGCCTGAGCCCTAGGGCTGGTGGGAAAATGCCTGTCCAGGAGAGAGGAGTACTAGGCTAGACTCTACTGCTGATGGTACAGAGGACAGGTGGGCGGAGCAGCAGCCTGAGGCAACAAGCCCAGGTGGGAGGCTGTCCTATAGCTTACTGTTTGCAAGGCATTGCTCATATGACACACTTCATCTCATTTAATCCTCAAAGCAAAAGCATGTAGTTAAACCATTATAGAAATGAGGCCCCTAAGGCCCAGAGAGGCTAAGTAACATGCCCTGGTCACACAGCTAGAAGTGGAAGATGCATACAAACGAGAAGCTGACTCCAGACTTCTGCACTTTGGCCTCTACTCTTGACCACCTCTCACAGGCGATAGACGTGAAGACTTAAACTCAGGAGAGGTTCTCCAACCACCTTGCGGTTTTGTCTGATTGAGGTTATGGGGAATGTGGAGCAGAGGCCGAAGTGCTTTGGGGTTGGGTTCCCTTGGTGAACCGTGAGGAAAGTATAGCTCTTGCATTCTGCATTTGTGATGCCAGATGCTTTCACCGGTATGAGGCCGCTGGAAACCCAGAGCCTGAGTGCAGGAGTGGGTCCACGTGGGAGGCCTTGGGGACATCACCACAGTGAGCAGGGAGACAGTTTCACAGGATGGGGGAGAGGAGGAAGAAAGATGGGCAACGCCTTTATACTCTGAGTATCAGTGATAGAGTCTTAACAGTAGTTACGTGCTAAGACTGGTCCTCATTATGAAGTGAGACTGAGCCCTGCTAACTGAAAGTGTGTAAGAGTAATCCAGGTTTGGGCACCTCACCTTCCATGTGGGAGACCCAGGTTCTATCCGCGGAGGCTTGGCATGTTGCTGTGATGCTGAACAGGTTCCAGAAGAGCCTCCAGACTAAAACGGACTCGGAAGAAAGGCCTGGTGACCGACTTCCAAAAAGCAGCAGCCAGACATCATCCTGCACGGAGTGGCCACAAGTCAGGGGTTGTTGGCAGCTTGAGGATGGTCATTTCCCTGGGAGCCTGGTGGTGCTCCCTTTGCAGTGCTGTGGGGCCCCGTATGGAAGTCTGCATTGCTTGACCACCCAGTGAACACCGCTCTGCCCTCTGCTTGTGTCTGACAGGTTGGCAGCCGGCGGGTGATTCAGTACGGAGCGGCATTGATGCTGGCCTTGGGCATGGTGGGAAAGTTCAGCGCCCTCTTCGCGTCCCTTCCCGATCCTGTGCTTGGTGCCCTCTTCTGCACTCTCTTTGGTAAAGCTTTCTCCTTGATACCTGGCTTCCCTTTTCAGGCTCCTTCCTTTTACGTTTGCTGATTTCTAATAGAAGATGCCCTGCTAGCACAGTGGTTAAGCACTCCACTATTAACCGAAAGGTTTGGCCCTTTGAACCCACTGGCTGCTCCATGGGAGAAAGATGAGGCAGCCTCTGCTTCCATAAAGATCACAGCCTTGGAAATGCTACAGGACAGTTCTCCGCTGCCCTGTAGTATCTCTATGAGTTGGCATCAACTCGATGGCAATGTTTTTTTTAAATTTCTCATAAGGGAGTCCGTGTGTTAATAGTTAAGCACTCACTACAAAATGAGCCACGTGCACTACAGAAGCAATGGAAGGCAGAGTTGGAGTAACTTCTCAGAGACAACCAAACACCTAAAAAAAATTTTTTTTTAAATAGTCTAACACTTGACTCCCGGAAGGAAGGTTGGGCAATCCTACTTCCGTAGTGATACTGCCTCGGAAACCCAAGGAGGGGTCGCTATGAGTCGGGTTTGACTCGACGGCATATAACAACAACAACAACAACACTTGACTACTAGCTGAAATGTTGGTGGTTAAGACCGACCCAGAGAAGAGCCTCGAATACAGGCCCAGCGATATGCTTCCAAATGGTCACAGCCCACGGAGCACACACTACACACACGGAGTGGTCATGAGTTGGAATGGACTCAGTGACAACTAACAATAACAATTTTTAACATAGAAGGCAACAATAAATGTCTAGTTTAAAATATAAAAGAATATGCCTTCTAAACTAAAAGCCACATCACCCTCTTGCATTGAATTAATGGTCAAAGTAGAACCAATAATGAGAAGACTCTCCCCCTCTGATTGGGCCGTTGAAAACTGGCTGTTTTTCATGATGGACTGTAGATTTGATGTCTCTGCCAGTCAGTCATAGAAGTCAGGCATACACCACATAGCAGGGTGGGCGTCCCAGCTCAGTTGAAAAGATGAGATGGAGGTTTTAAGGGGAATCAGTGTCCTTGTTTTCTACCTGATCTGAAGGAAACTTGGTGTGATCCCTTTGACCCGCCCCAGATACGCCTGAGTAGTGCATAGGCCATTTGGATTAGAGACCCAGGGTGGTCACTCCTTCCCCCTAACCCTCTTCTTCCATCACTGCACTGGTCTTCAGACTTGTTCCTGAGGGGATGAGAAAGGACTGTAGGGAGTCTGCCATCCACAGTTAAGAGGACTCGACATTGAGCCAGTAGTTAACTCAGTGTTTTCTCTTCAGGGATGATCACAGCTGTTGGCCTCTCTAACCTGCAGTTCATTGATTTAAATTCTTCCCGGAACCTCTTTGTGCTTGGATTTTCAATCTTCTTTGGACTCGTCCTTCCAAGTTACCTCAGACAGAACCCTCTCGTCACAGGTATGGGGAACAGACCTTACGTTCTCGGGGGAGCTGGAACCACAGCCAGCGATTCACAGAGACTCGTGGGGGGTCATGGAGCATCAGGAACTGTTGGGATGAGTGTTCTCCTGTGTGTTGCTTTCAAAGCTCACTTTGCTGCAGTTTGTCTGGAAGCCCTTTGTGTTTCCACGTAACCAGCGGGTGTGCAGAACTCCTGTGGATATGGAGGTCTCTTTTTACCGGAACCATCTCTGAAAAGCCTTTGGATTTCTCAAAGTCATGCTATATTTAAATCTGCAATTTTTTTGAAATTCATATTTTTCTACTGGGATTACAACAGCTAAGAGCAATCAAGATTAGCCTCTTCAGCTCCCTCATTCATTTCTTGTTTCCAGTGTCATGGGGAACGAACAAAGGAGGAACTATCCTAAGAGACAGCTGTTGCTGCTGATCCTTTATTTTGAGCAAATGTAGAATTGAACATCGTTAATGTTTTAAATATAGAAAGGGTGCAAACTCCCTAATAACAAGGACACTCGTTTTTATATTTTTCCTTTCCCATGCTGCTTTTAAACTTTTAATATACTGCATTCTTGTGGGGAAATCTTTATAAATCCACTTGTTTCTAAGTAAAAGTAGCTGAAAATAGTAACCCAGAATGAAGAAAACCTTTGTTTGATTGCATATTCCACAGCTATTTTTGTTCGTTCCCTATTCGTTTTGTAGATTTTGCTCAGCCTTCAAACAACCATCTTTTGTTCTGAATTATTTTAATCTGCAAACAACACTCCCAATGGCTTCAAAGTTCATCACAGGAGCTCACCCTATTAGGTTTATCTTGTACCCACCATTGTTAGGAATTTTTCTTACAGAGACACCATTCAGTCACTCTTGAAAGCCCTCAGAGTGGCGTAAAACGTTAGTGGCAATAATTGATCCGCACACACACACAGACATACAACTGAGAAGTCTGCACTTCTGTGCTGCACAGTGACTGTGGTGGAATGAGTATGCCCATCGCTGTGCCGCTCTGCAGTGACACTTTATCACGATTTTCTGTTTCTAGGGATAACAGGAATCGATCAAGTGTTAAATGTTCTTCTCACAACCGCTATGTTTGTTGGAGGCTGCGTGGCTTTTATTTTGGACAATACAATCCCAGGTATGTGGCATGTATCAAACATGCTTATATTACATAATGTGATTTATTTTTTTACTAAGTAATAATGGAAACCCAGAAGAGTAAATCAGTTAAAAATCATCCACTGACTCTTCTGAAGTGGTTGAGATTACAGTCTCAGCTAGATGCCCTTTTTTTTTTCTCTTTGCCAAATTCCCGTTGAAAGAAACAGGTACATTTCTTGTGTAGGGTGGGGCGGCATTGGGATGCCTCGAGCCCTCTCCAGAGCAACCTGCTCACCCTACACAGCCTGAGCCGTGAGCCTTGCCATTTGGCTTTCCTTGGCTTGTTTCTATCACTTTCTCTAACACCTGAGGCATTCCTGTCCTTCAAGTGTGTCAGTCCTAAGACAGGCCCCTAGCCAACCTCAAGACCAACTGGTAGACAGCAGCAGTGAACAGGATCAGTGACAGGCACACGGAGGCTGCGCTCTCCCCAGCAGGCTAGGACCCTCTTTGTCCACTGGGAGCGTTCTCTGCCCAGCACTGAATGTCAGGCCAGGGAGGAGATGCGGGCCCTGCTACAACCCTCCCCTGTCCATGGAGGAGGCTGCAATATATACCATTCTCAAACGCTGGTAGACTCTTCCTTCCAGGGCAGGAGTGGGTCCCCCTGGAAGGGGACACTTACTTTTGGGCATGAAGGTTTAATTGAGATGTTCCCCTTGAAGTAACGTACCCCTAAAAGTTTTAAGCAAGAGCTTGCTGGTGAAACCAGGGCTGGACACTTCAGACAGAAGATATCACATGATGAAGAGGTAGAAGGTGTTGGACTTCAGAGAATCAATAAGTGATGCCTCCTATCCTCAGAGGGCAGGAACGCATAGGAAAGGACACAGGGAAAAGGCAACCGCAGGGAGAAGGGAGGAAGTGGGAAGAGAGGTGTTACATTATGGGGATTGCAATCAATGTCATGAACAAAATGCGTATGAACTGCTGTATGGGAAATGAATTTGCTCTGTAAACGTTTACTCAAATCACAGTTGAATGAATGAAAGCCCCCTTTCTCTCCTGAGCCAGAACTAATTGAGAGGAGGCTCTGGAGTCAGATACCTGGAAAGTAACAAGTCAACTTTATTACTCAAACACCACAGGAGAGCATAGCTTAGATGCAAGAAGATAATGAGCTTCCTAAAGAACCATCACAAAGTCTAGCTTGTCATCCGGTCTTAGGCACAGAGATCGTTAGATGTCCTGCTGCCTTAGCTTCCTAGAGCCACTGTGTCAGAAATAGCTCAGGTGGGTGCTTTAAAGAACAAAACGTTTATTTTTTCAAATCAGAATCTTGGCCATTTCACTTCCTGCTGTGGCCTCTCTCGCATTTCTCGTGTCTGCCAGCAGTCTTAGTAGGAGAAGTTCCTTTGCTTGTAGACAGATCCTCACGTGGCCTCTGTCTTTTCCGTTTGTGCCCCTGTGTCTGTTCCACTGTTTCTGTAGCACAGATGTGATTAGGTTTGGGACCACCCAACTCTGGTGTGATCTCATGACTGTAACAAAAGAAAACCCCTGTTTCCGAACAGAACCATATCCATCAACACGGAGACCAGGACTTCAGTGTGTATTTTGGGAGGACACAGTCTGACCCATCAGCCCCATGTAGCCAGAGGAGATCCAGCAGTCCTCTCTGTACTGGGAGGATTTATGAAAAGAAGCCTGGGAGTTGCTAAGTCTTGTGTGCTTAGCTCTTCCTCCCTGACTCCTCTGTCAGGGTGCCGAATGGTCAGGAGCATGACTCCAGTGGAAGGCCATTGTCACAGAGCAGGACAGGTGGAGTGTACATGATAAGTACATGTATACACACACAAATAGAGCAAAGCAGTATAAAACCCTCAGTGTGTGGGTAGGGCTGAGTAAGGAAGGCATGTGTAGTATAGTGAAAAGACTTAGCTGCATTTTGCACGGTCAGATTTGCATAATTTTTGCTATATTAAGAAAGATTTAGGGGTGAGGTGGAAGGACTGGGCCTCCAATCAGGAGGCTGACATGATGCCCTTGGAAAGGGATGACCTGGCCTAGGCTAGCCCTCAACAGTGAAAATGGAGAACATGGGCCACATGGAAGAAGGACATGGAGGAGGAAGTCATCAGGAGGTCATCTAAATGTGGAACGAGGAACAAAGGCATGGTGGTTAGTGGTTCCTAGAATTCTGGTTGGGACAGCTGGGCAGTTGAGTGTCACCAGCTCCTCAGGTTTTCTTCACTGTCATCTCATCTGTGGAACAGCACATTGCAGAGTCCTGTTCTTTGTAGGCTGGTAAACTCCACATTTGGTTGTCTTGTTTTGTGTGTGTGCATGTGACAGGTACCCCAGAGGAGAGAGGAATCAGGAAGTGGAAGAAGGGCGTAGGCAAAGGGAGCAAGTCACTCGACGGCATGGAGTCCTACGATCTGCCTTTTGGCATGAACATTATTAAAAAATATCGATGCTTCAGCTACCTGCCCGTCAGCCCAACCTTTGTGGGCTACACATGGAAAGGCCTCAGGAAGAGCGGGAACAGCCGGAATTCAGACGAAGACTCGCAGGCCACAGTATAGCCTCAGGGGCACTCGGTGGCATGTCTCTGTAGTCCCTGGCGAGTAATAAGCAGTAAAATATATATATATGTTTGTATATCTGCATTTACATTCTGCACCCTGGAGCTAAGACTAATGACAAATAGTTTTTCTGTTGTGGGTGGTGAACGTGTCTCATATGGTGTCTCGCATATGTCCTTATTTAAATTAAGCCCTTCACCCTTTGCCTTCTGAGAGCATCCATTGCTGGTTGTGGTCACTGAACTTGAAGTCCCAATCCTCCTGTGGGAGGGGATGTTTGCGATCCATTGTGATTCCTTACTTTTAGTCCCCTTCCTCAGGGTGGGGTTGAGGTCAAGATCTGAGCTGCATACCACGCTGGTTTTCCTGCAAGTCCCCCAAACCCCACAAGGTCCAGTGGCTTTCTGTCCTGGACACACTTGGACCTATTTCCTTTCTATTTGATTTTTGCAAGTCTTCACCTCAGCTTGTGTCTGTCGACACCTCTTGTGGCCGAGGAGCACCGTGTTCTTGCATTATCACAACTGACTGGTCAATTGTGATTCTGTATCGATAACTCCTGATACTCCTGTAGGACCCCATTGAAAACTGTGACATGGCTACCTTGCACTCGGGAAAGGTCTGTATTGTTAATAGAATGGTGATCTATCCTGGGGATTGGAAGGGAAGGGAAAGTACCTTTAAGTAATATCTGATTCTCAACTGCCCTTTTCTCTGTGCCACCTTGCCCCAGACTGGACGAGCACATTTCCTGTGGCCTCTTTTTTACTAGTAACTGAGACACCCTATCTGGCATTATCACCACTGGCTGGTGTGACGGGTATAGAGTGCCACACAAGGGCACCAGTCAGATGTTTCGGGAGTCTTGGCTCTGCTGTCATGTGGATGTTAGTTACCGTCGCGCGTGTCTATAATTACAAGGTTTTATTCCTATTTAATGTTACTGACTATAGCAGATTTTTGAAATCAGTGTTTTTCCATGTGACCCTCTTACCTGCATCCCTATTACTTGTCCCACAACCCCACCCCATTAAGAAAAGAACCAGCATCTTTAAAGCTGTGGACACCATCAGGGAAGCTTGTTGTAATGGCTTTTGAAGGCCAGTAACCATTATTGTGGTTGTGTTTTGTATTGCTTGATACCATGAAAGTGTAAATACTATAATGCCTAATCTATTTATCAAAACTGACTACTGGACCAGAGCCCAGAAACCATGGGTCAAGTTACACGTGAATTTGTTTTGTGAAGAAGGGAAGCTGGGGCACAGGTATCAAACAGACCTGCCATATTGAGTGGTGTGGCATCCTGGTAAATTCACTACTCCAGTTAAAGTTCTTCTGTTGTAAGTCATTTCTGGCAATTATGGCGTAAGGGAACTTGCGTACCCACTAGATTTTGCTGAGGGGAGGGTTAGATTCCCTGGCCAAATGTTGCCTTTCATGTTTTAAGTTATTGCAGAAGGTGGTTAGAAAAGTGAGTGGCTGGCCCCCTCTCTTAAGAAGAGTTCTAATTAATAACACTAATTTCTTTCTGGGTCAAGGAGGGGAAGATTTCTGTTTAGTTTGTGGTTTTCAGCCAAGCAAAAGCCTGAGACATAAAGTCGTGACCTCACCTCATGGAGTTGTACTTCTTAAATGGTCATTGACCTGATTGAGCTTTGAATGACTTTGGACACTCCTGGCTCCCAAAACATGGGTTTGGTCCTTTGCAACCTTGTGTTGACCTGGTGAACTTCTTACCACCTGAAGCTGGCTACTCCTCACCACCTTGGGGTGTCTTTTTGTCACTATGGATACCTTCATCCCCACCCCCAGAAATTTTGAGCTTAGAAGTTTATCATGACAAGAACACTTTAGAGTCACTATGTTTGGCCAAGATCTTATTGCAGATTAAGTAAAGGACTTAGATTCTAAACTGCACTTAATTTTGTACTCTATATATTTTTTAAAGATGTATCTTTGATGCACAGTGAGTTTAGAAGCACATTAGTTAACTGTTTTCATACCCTCCGATGTGGGAAGTCCTTGAGGCAGACAGCCCTCTTGTATTGAATTAGTCTCAGTTATTTGTAGACTACTCAACATCTCTGGTTTCTCTGCTCTGAAAAATGGGGAAAACTGTTAAACTTCCCAGAGATTTGTAGAATTTTAGCTCTCTAGGTCAAAAGATAGGCCAAATAGCCAAGTAGAGGCATCAGAACCACCAGGAACTCAGACACAAGTCCTCTTCAACTCAACATGACCAGCATCTTCCCTCCCATTGGATAACGCTTGGTTATGTGCTTCAGATGTCCAAGAACCTGTACCCTCTGAAACCCTCTTTGGGGGCTGGGTATAATTGGGAGATTTCAGATCTGCTGGTCCAAGGGGATGTTTGGAACTTCTTACACGAAGGGAAGCCCTGCATCCAGCCCTACTATTAAAAAGAGGCCTCTGCCCTTCTGGTTGATGGATCCATGAGGGCAGATAATAAATTCTCTAGCCAAGGAAGGGAGGAAAGAGGGAAGCCTGTCTGGAGGCCCTCATTGAGTCTGGTACTTTCTGCACATCTACTTACCTTTGCTTGAGTGATTGGAGTCTTATAATAAATCATGCACGTGCAAGACCTACATATTAGGAAGTGGTCCTCCTGCTAGCTAATGTGCTAGAGAAGGAAAGTTTATAATTGAAAGAAGAGAAAAAAAAAAGTACTCATCTATTTCTTGGGTTTCAGCATACCCCTGAAGAGAAAGCTTAGTGGGAGTGGTGGGCATGCGTGGTCTGTGCCTGTAACGCTACCCAACTGCATGCTGGTCTGCATCTCTGGGTCACATCCCAGCCGTGCTTTGTTTGGCCAATAAAATGCTCTAATTAAAATACTCTGAATTTGAATGTCCTTAGGAAGGGCATTCAATCTCCAGCTTCCACACTGACCACCTACCCACCATCTTCACAGTTCACCTGCCTGGCCCTCGAAAGAAAGCATTCGGGTTGACACTCCTGACGTGGAAAGCAGAAGCTATTTATATGAACAGGAGGTGCTGCCATATTCACAGTAGGGGTAGAGGAGATCCCACCACTCTTCTTTTCTTTTTTTTTTTCCAAATTAAATTTAGGATTTTACTTGACTAACACCAAACCCGCTGTCATTGGGTTGATTCCAACTCATAGTGACTCTATAGGACAGAGTGGAACTGCCCTATCCCACCACTGATTCTGATAAAATATTTGCCTAACGTGGTAATGCACAATAATGAGAAACGGCTTCAGTCTCTATAAATGATCTGCAGTCTCCCTAGAGAGGTAAGCTTAGAATCACTGATGTAAAATTTACATTCAGAGTCTTTCTTGAGAGCGTTTCAAATGTCAGCTTTTAGTAAGTTTTCTGTGATTGATAAGGTGAGAGAAGTGGTTTAACAAGCCAGCTAGAATGAAGTGTTGTGGGCCCCTATGATTTCCCTTTCTCATGGTGACAAATTCACACCCAGGATTTGCTTTATACTGTAGAATATGGACTCATGACGACAACTTGGTTTATGCATGAATATTGCTGCAGTATTTCCATATAGTAAAGTAACATTTCTGCCCAGGATAATAGTCACAGTTTTCCAGGGGGGGAATGATATAATTTTCATGACAATGTCATGTGATGATAGAATTTCTCCATTGATGAATCTCTAGTATGTGTGTATACTTTATTTACCCATGCGTATATTTTATTACCAAGAGCTAAGTTGTTATTTCTTTAACTCACGTCCCTGCTGAAATATTGGTACTAGCAACTTAGACGTCAAGTCGGCAAAGTATATTCTTCAGTAATATTTATGCCACAGGTCTGGCCAGGCCAGATAGAAGATGAATAAGGAACTGTGGCCGTGACCTCATTCCAGAACCTTTCTGGCCAGAGAGGGGGCGGCATGCTGCGGGCTGTGTGCTGGGTATAGGCACAGGGCTTGATTGCCCAGCTGTTGCTAGATGACCAGTGTGCACAGTGGCTCTGCCCTCTGCTGGTGGTGGTGGTGTATGGCACATATGTCTGGGCATCCACAGAGTTTGCTTCTCCATGGGAATGGCCCCCTGACTTTAGAGAAGAGCCTTGGGTCTCATGTGTATTGTGACCTATCCCCTTATGCTTTGGACATGGAGAGTAGGACATCGCCCACCCTCCACCGGTCCTCAGTACAACCGGAGTAGTGTAAGAAGGCTGCCCAGTTTTACCAGCCTTCAGCTTCCGTCCCTGGCCTCATAAAGCATGTTAATGCTGGGAATCCCTTTTCAGCAGCCGCAAACATTCCTGCCCTTTTAGGTTGTGCCTGACTGTGCCCCATCATCCCTCAACATCAGTACCATCCAACATCCTTAGAATTGCTGTGTGTGTTTTCAGGCACTTAAGCATCCTTACTAGCGTTGCCATCATACTGACAGTTCCAATTAATATGCTTTTTTGTTCGTTCGTGACAACCTGTGTTTGACCCATCAATACATTTCTGACTGTTCTTAAAACAGTAAGGATGCCTAAATTTTCCTTGAGTTTTTGTGACTGACTTAGGCTATATACTTTTCTGGGATTTTGTTTTTGTTTATTTTTGGTTTTTTTATTTTGCATACCAAGGGTATTTGGGATAGGGTTGTTTTTTGAGATGTGTAATTCTTTTATGGAGTTTTTAAAAAGAAATTTCATATTGTTTTTCTAACATGGCTTCATTAAACGTTTAAGTATTTTAAAAATATGTAATATTTGGACCAGATGTTGTGAATAATAGTAGAGAAAAAGCTATTTTATTCTGTATTTTTAAAACTGTTCCGTACAAATAAAAGCTCTCCTGGACACAGTTTTGCTGTTCACAGGCCTCCTTCTATGGCTGGTCTTCAAGAGAATTGTAATTAATGAAGTTAAAGGTCATCACCCAAAGGAGGGAAATCGACCAACGAAAAACCATATAGCTTGCAGGCGTTACCTGCAGTTCAAGTTTGCAGGCGTTACCACTCACTGTCAAGTGCCTGGAAGACTTGAAGGATGGAAGTGGGGCAGGAGAGGGGATGGGCACAAGGGTGATCGGTGCTCGCTGCTCGGGAACCAGTGATGGATGAGGCCTCAGGAGGATGCTGA